TATTTGTCGAAATAGTATTTAATAATTTCGGCTTGACAGGTTGCCGAAATTCCTGAATTTCGGCAAGCATCCTTAGTAACAAGTGATGTCATCTATAATAACATAATTAATCTCTCATCACTATCCTGCAAAGTTGATTAATATTATTTAAATTTATAATAAAAGTTAATCAATAAAAAAAGATTACTTAACAATTAAACCATTTGAATTAAAAAAAGATTTCTGAACTCATTCTAGTAGTTCAACAAAATGAACACATCATTATCTACCTTTATTAAATTAGTCTCTCCCAACCTTATTTATTTTAAACACATAAAAATCTTTAATAACTCTCCCATTTAATTGAAATACGTGAAAAACACGTAATCTATACTTGAAAGTTAATAAACTAACAGAAACAATAACAATATTATTATATTTTAATACTTAATTAGCTTGAGTTTAACATAAAAACCATAATTAGCTTTCAGAAAAAACATTATCTTGAAATACAAGAATGTTTACAGATTTTGAAAAGTTTATTTATTTTGCATGTGACACTACATGTAAATCTGAATCAAATAAATCCAGATCGACTCAATCCGAATTGCATTACCTCGCATTAGTGTTTCCCCAATAAAGATGCATAAATTTTTAATCATCCCGAAAAAACAAGAAAATTAAAAAGGCGAATAATGTGAAAAATACGGAAAACGAATGCTTAAACCTGACTTGAAGCACTAGGCATATTAGTAGGTGATGCAAATACAAATACAAACTCATCCTCTCTTCTGTTTACATGGTCAGAAGTAATCAAAACCGTGCCCGCGGTTATAGTATTCTATCATTGCTAAGACCAGTATTCGTGTTTTTTACAAAGAAAAAAGTGTTTTCATGATATAATTAGTTTTGTTTCGAATAAAGTTTTGGCTTCGTCGCTCCCTTGACTTTAAGATGCAGGGCAGTATAACAAAATCATGTGCATCGATTGATTTTTTCTGCATTTTACTTCCACACAATTCGAGACTTTAATACAAAATGTACACTTATATGAAGGACAACGTAAATTGAATCAAGTGAGAAGCGAATAAACTTGATTGAAAATGGTTTTCATCAACTAGTTTAAGAATTTACCCAACTATTGGCACGTGGTATGAGCGTAATTATAGCGTTTGTCCATTGAGTAGAACTGTCATTGGAATTTTTATTATAATTAGCAATTATTAATTGATCTTGACAAATGAAGTGTTTTTTCACGATAACAATTAGTCTAGTAAAATGTATATTAACGTGGACAGTAGTGAGATTATTCATTAATTCTTGCTGTATAAAATTAAAATACATGTAAATAGAAACGGCAACACTAATTATTTTTCTCTAGGAATCAAATATCATCATTAATAAAATTCTACCAACATACATTTCAAATAACTACGATCATTTGCTTAAACCTCCAACTATATCAAAAAAAACCCCCCCTTTTTTTGATATGCACAACTCGTATTTCAAACACTGAAATATCAGATTGTTTTTTACTTATAAGGGTGATGCTTTTTGCTCTTTACTTCGATATTTCGGTCTTTCCACGTACTTTTTCGAAGTTTTATTGGTCGATTACCTACATATTTACCTGAAAAATAAAAAATAGATCAGAAATCATAAAAAGCATAGATTAAGTAACCAAAAAATATTGGTTTCTTCTTTACCATTCATTTCTTTCCAAGCCTTGACGAATTCATCCGCATCTTTGAAACTCACAAACCCATAACCTTTTGACTTGCCGGTTCTTTTATCACGAACTACCTTGGCTTTTTGTAGGGATGGATATTTACTAAAGGCTTTGTATAATAAATCATCTGTTACCTCGTTACCCAAGTCTCCACAGAATAATCGAAAATCATCTATAATAATATCATTATAGATTAGTAAAATCAAAGAAATATTTCTAACACAATTTTCGTAACTGTTATCTTACTTGTATCCCATTCTAATAATGTCGGATCCTCCCAAACTTCACCACCGGCAGCACGAACTATAGTTTTTTGCTTTTTCTTTGAGGTGCCAGTAATCTGTTTATTCGTCTCGGTTACATTCACCGAGCTACTACTCGTATCTTTAATTGAACTAGAGCTTTGCAAGGGAGCAGTTTTCAGGTTTACAGGAGGTTGCTGTATAATAGTATTTGTAAGTGTAGGTGGTGCTTCAACAACTGGAGGGGTTGTTGTCACAACTGAATTTGAGCCTCTTGAAGCTGTTGGATATTGATAGTAATAGCCTGTGCTAGAATAACTCGAGTAATCGTAGCCCTCGTACCCAGCATTTGAAACAGTTGGATTAGCATTCGAGTAGTATGTTGGAGGATTGGAAATAGTTGGTGTGGGGTAAGAATAATCCACATTATAGTATGCAGCGGAAGATGAAGATTCTGCAGCATTTCCCGACAAATAACCAGGTTGATCATACTTTGATTGAGAAAAATTCGAGTTAGAGTGGTTTGAAGACATTTTTTCTTTATTAAATTAGTATTAATACTTGAACCTTTGGTTGTTAGAGGAAATGTTGATGTTTATGTTTATGTTTATTACCATGTATATCGAAAATCTACACTAGACTAAGGTTAATCAATTATCAACACCGAAAACATCGATATTGTTTACAAAACTACTTGTCTCGATCTATAATATAGATTACATACAATTGAGCACTGTTACTACCCCATCACCAAATGAGCAGAAAAAACATTAATTCCAATGCTCCTCGAGGTTCAAATGTAGTATTTGGTAAATAACTACTTATGATAATCCAATGTTCGATTTACGACTTACTATAACATAATCTGGCTTTCATTTTTTTTTAGTTGGCAACATTCCATATGAATTGACCGAAGAGCAATTAACTGATATTTTTCAGGAAGTGGGTCCTGTAGTTTCATTCCGGTTAGATATCACCTTACTTGAATCATGCTATTTATAAGACAACTTATATATGAAAAAGAGCAAGAAAACGTTAATTTTGCATTTTTTTCTTGTATTGTTTATAGACTGGTATTTGATAGAGAAAACTCTAGGCCACGAGGATATGGATTTTGTGAATATCATGGTAAGTTTAGTTAGTTGATCTGCTCGAAGAAATAAAAATATCATTTTCTCTGATTCGACCTTAGCTTTTCGCTTCTTAATTGACTATAATAGATGCTGAAACAGCTGCAAGTGCCGTAAGAAATCTTAATAACGTGGAAGTAGGAGGAAGACCTTTGAGAGTTGATTATGCAGATGGAGATCCAGCAGTGATATCAAATATGGGAGGACCTCAAGATAATAGACCTCCAATGTTAGACAATAGATCATCGTTGACACCTCAACAACAACCACCACCACAGCAACAACTACCTCCACAACAACAAATACCACCGCAACAACCACCTTCACAAGCCACGAATCCACCAATAATACATCCTGGTCATCGACATTCTCCTCCACCAGCTACTACACAAACACCACAACAATTACCACCGACTAATTTTGGACAAATAGGAGGAGCTGCACAGTCATCCGCGGTTGATTCTATTTCCAAAACATTGGCTAATATGAATTCTACTCAACTTTTTGAAGTTTTATCACAATTTAAAGTTTGTATCATTTTTTTTATATTATAAATTTTAATATGATGGATGAGCTTTATTAATATATTAATAATCACTATTATAGTTACTTGTTCAAAGTAACATGGAACAGGCTCGTGCATTACTAACACAGAATCCCCAATTATCATATGCACTTTTTCATGCCATGTTATCGCTTAATCTTGTGGAAACATCACTATTACAGGTAAAAACCAATAAAAATATTTGGTCCATGCTGGTGATCGTCGCTGTTTAGTAATTGTATTCTGTAACATATGGGATAAACTTGCACATACACAATATGAAGATTTAATATTTATGTTTACTGACGATAAAACACATAATTTAGCGAATTCTACAATCCAATCCGCCACAACAACAACAACAACAACAACAACAACAACAACAACAACCACCACCACCACTACAACAAGCCCCTCCGCAAGCTACGAATCCACCACCTATAGCTCCTCCTTCAGGATATCCAGCACCGGTGATTCCGAATCCTGTTAATGTACCACAGCAACAACCACCACCGCCACTATATGGTGGTATACCTCACCAGCCTCCAATGATACAACAACCGCCTCCAATACAACAACCGCCACAATCACTACAACCACCACCACAGCAACAACAGCAGCAACAACCACCACCACCACAACAACTGCCAACACAGCAAATGGTGCAACCACCTCCAATGCAAGCTTCTATTCCGCTAGGACTTCCCGGAGGCATGATGCCTATGGGGAATGTAGGATTGCCTCTCCCTCAGCAGAATCCTATCGCTCCAATACCAAGTGGAGTCAATCCTGTCAACCCTGGTTTAAGCAGTACGTCAAATATTTAACAGTCATAATATCTGCAAAAATAGTTAATTTTTAAATATATTCTAATGAATTTTTTATCATCTAGATGATATACAAATACAAGAGCAACAAAAAGTATAGTAATTTTTAAATTTTTAATCGCTTCATTCTAATACTGATTTGATATTTATTGATTTGTTTTTTGAACAATAAATTGCATATTTTAGGCTTTGTTAATGCAAGTGCTTCAATTAACTCCACAACAAATCGACTCATTGCCTCCCGATCAACGAAATCATATAATGGCATTGGTAACTATAAAGCTACTTTATTCTTTTAATAAATTTTTCGAATTAATATTTATATCATACTAAATTGATTTAATTGAATATTTTTCTTTTAGAAAGCGCAACTCATGTATCATCAAACTTGAGAAAATAAAAAATTTAAAAGTAAAGATTTATGATAGTTGATTTAGTCAATCCCATCATGTTCGTTAGAATTATATTAATTTAGAGAGAATTCTCGTCTATGGTGATGGTGCTGAATTTAAATCTGTAATATTTCTTTTATACTTCGAATATAATAATTAATAATATTAAAAATCATTTAGTTTGAATTATACCAATTATTTTTTCAAATTGGTTTCTACTTTATTCTTTTAGTTGAGTTATCCTATATCAAGTTTTGTAATTTTCTCCGTTATATTCGTCTTTTTATTGCTATTTCGTTCGATTTTTCCGTTTTCTAAGCTGCATTTTTGGAAATGAAACTATAATTATTCTTCAATACCAGAAACTTCAATATTTTCTGAGATTATTTTTAAATCAGTTCAATTTATTTTTGGTGAACCAATTGATATTTAGTTTGTATAAAAATGTTCCTGAATACAAATATGTGAAATTTGAAAAAAGTTTCTATAATGGGAACAGCAAGTTGCATTCACTCAAGTATATAAGTGACAAATTTTGATATTTAACATTATATATAATTCAACCAATATTATATTGTCATGATATGACATTTGTTGAACAATCTTATTGGATAAGAAATATATTAATTATTATTGGATTATATTTATTAGTATTTCTATTGGATAGTTATTTT